GAATAAGACTTTAGTCATCTTAAGTTGCCTCAGGCGATTTAAGAACTGATATTCGACTCTTTCTCACAATACTATGAATAGGTTTCACAATTTGGGAGATACCTGTCTTTTCTATGGCTTAATAACACCTGTGGCTGTTTAACGGAGTTGTAATTTCGCCATTATGCTCACGATCCTTTTGGGGGTGCCTGAGAGGCCTAGACGAGGTCCTGGATGAGCTAACCTTTTGGGAAGCAAGGCTAAATGAACCTCAATAGTATCATAAGGCTTACTAATATCATTGTAGGAAAAACTCATCTATCAGTCCTTACATCACCTTAAGCAATCCAGGATGTCTAAATTATTATCTGCAAAAGATAATGAGATATTCCCGATATTCAATTATTGCCAAGCTTTACGTTGTGCATCTCAGAGACCTATATTGGCCAATGACTTCATTGATTGATAAATGTCTCAACACTTTCCTCCAAAGCTGCCGATGAGTATACACCAATCTTAGGCATTGGTTTATCCTTTGAACGCAACTGGCTTATTTTCTTAAATAAGGCGAAACTGCTCCTACTACCATGCTTCTATCTACTATCAAATACGATTGGGCTCCGATGATGGATTAGATAATCAAATTAACCAAGCAATTTCTGCCGTTTTCTCTACTGACTGAGTTTCGGGGCTACCTATTGACCCTTTATACCAGTACTTTTACCTACTGGTAGTTTAGGGTGCTTGAAGGATTGAGAGTTAAATTTCCTACAATGGAACGAGTACAGGGACTCATGATTCCACTAACTTTTAGTTAGCTTTTCCTCCCAGCAGGCTTTCTCATCTGAGTTACGCAAAGTCTTATAAGTACCCCCAACTGGATTCGAAGCTAGGTTTTGCTCGTCAAACAACAACACTGCTTATCCGGCACATCTACAATTCAATTAGGAAAGTGTTTATCTGTCATTACACTTGATGACAGCATAAAGATAATGAATAAGCTTAGAAATTTTCACTTTCAGTGATTAAGCAACACTCACCTTGTTTTTAGTTTAATTTTCATAACATGCTAGTTATTAATAGTTAGACTTCTGGCCACTCAGATCCTATACCTTTTATACATATCTCATAGTACCTCGTACTCCTTCGATCTTCTTGAATGCCTATTACCATGGGCACTGAATGTCAATCTCTCTGTTCAGCGTATTTGCCTCTGTTGCCGCCGGCTCTGTGGCCTGTCCGCTAAGCGACGACCCGTCTCTTGGTCTGGCTTCCAACAGATATGTCTTGATCGGGACCAGCCGCCTCCTTGCCTCCTCGGCCACATCTGCAGTTCTATTTGTGCTGCAAAAATTGACGAGAAGCCATGGCGATACTTTTAGACGTATGCTAAGATTGGCGGCTTAGAAGGCAACTTTGCACCCATATTTTTCTTATTGTTAATTCTTTTAGCATACTTATTGTGTATCAATGATAGGACGTTGTGACTTTTTTGCAGTCAAGGCTAAATGCTAAATTTGGCTTTTATTTATGTTGTATATTATCTCATAATAATACAACCCATGTGATCAGATCTGCGAAATATATTTTATACTTTTTGCACTCATCTTCTTTGATGGCGCAAATATTAAAAACTTATATTCATTTTGCAGCTGTTGAACTCTATTCTTTTTCTAGCGTATATTTCATTCATAAACTATATCTATAAAAAGGTATTTATCACTTTAGTGGCTTCTGAAAATTTTGGAGTTTATTTACTTTCGTGACCAACTTAATACTTCTTACCTCATCTTCCTCTATTTGTTAGCACTAAGATGTTCTCACCATTTGGATCTGTACAAATTATAAAACAGTTGATTCTGATATTGAAAGGGAAATGGAATTAATTTGGCCTCCTTTGTTCCTTTATTTTGATCTGTTAGTTGTGGAGATGGAGCCGAGCTCTCTGTAATCATCCCTTTGAAATTTAGCTAAATAAATGAACTTATCTTAATTCTCTTATACGAATAATTAAGTCCACTTACGAAGGAATATATTTAGGCGTCCATCCGAGAAACTCATCACATCTCTGAGGACAATCTAAAAGCCGCTCTTGATTACTGGAAGATACATTATATTTACCAATTCGATGGTTATTTGCTAGATTGGACCGAGTTGCATCTCGCTTAATTCTATTTTTAACTGTCTTGGTATTCCTAGAATTTTCCAAATCGCTGAATAGTAAACTTTTAAATTAGAATTTAGTTTGAAAATTTTGTAATAAATTCAAATCGATCTCTTTTTGCCGTATAGAGCTAGTTCGACCTCGTTTGCACAGCCTAGCTGGGGCGTCAGATCTACGTCATATGTAATAGTCATAATGATTACTTCCAGGATCGAACCTTTGGCTTGG